CCGGTCTTCGGGTGCAGGGCGTATCGTGGGGAAGGATAGATACATCTATACGTATAGAAACAGAAAGACATCGAGAAGAAGGGTGTAGGGGGAAGGGTAGCAAAGACGTAAGTGTGGGCTCAGATTATGGAGGTCATGAGGGTACATGTACAAGAACTTATCTCGCGACAGCCTTGTATTGTTCTATAGAGTGGTTCTGGGCCAGTCAAGGATAAAAAGAGAGAGTGTGATACTTATGTATGTGTGTCCATCAAGTGGGGTTAATATATTCCGCGGTAAATATCTTTGAGGGGGTCATACATGTACAACTATAAATACATCGGTATGTCTCTCTCTCTCTCTCTCTCTCTCTCTCTCTCTCTCTCTCTCTCTCACTCTCTCTCTCTCCTCTCTCTCTCTCTCACTCTCTCCCTCTCCCTCTCCCTCTCCCTCTCCCTCTCCCTCTCCCTCTCTCTCTCTCTCTCTCTCTCTCTCTCTCTCTGTGTCTGTCTCTGTCTCTCTCTCACCTGTATAGGTTGTAGCTGCCCAGTCTCTGATGCCAGGGCCTCCACAGTAGTGACTGCCTTGCCGTGCAGGGAACACAGGGGCACCAGGCACGCCACGCACGACTTGTGGCTGGACAGCGGTCAAGGGGTCAGAGCAGCATGGACAGTGGACACTCTACCCTCGCACACATGTATGTTTTGTGTTCAGTTTTGTGTTTGGTTTTGTGTTTAGGGTTGGGCTTAGTGTAATGAGATGAGTTTTGTGTATAATTTTGTGTTTAGATTTGTGTTTAGTTTTGATTCTTTTTTATCCCACAAGGAACTTTTGGGTTTTTTTAAACAATGGCGTCTATGAACACACAAACACATGAATGCATGAATAATGTAGTATTATAAATATAGACACCCCACACACTGTTGCTGGTCGCCACAGTGCAGCGCCCTGTTCGTTTTTGTTTGTTTGTTGTTGTCTTTTTTGTAGATTAATCTTATTTTAGTTTAAGCCAAAAGAAGCACGCACGGTCATATGACCTTATGCAGTTGCGAGTGCCGTAAAACTCGCTCTAAGCTAAAGTAAAAAGAGAAGCACACCGACACAATAATTACCAAAAAAATGATGTACATCAGGAACATCGAATAGGAAGAAATAGAAATATATCAATGAAAGACACAACCCGATCAAGACCGTGTAAATTTAATAGGAAGAATCCTTTACACAACAACTGAAGAAACAAGAAGATACAGACATCGAGATCATGAACATTAACTAGGAAGAATTGTATAAACAACAATTAAAGACACATAAAGACATCAACATTATGAAACTGGAGGAAGGATACTCAATGACGTCAGAGCGGTCATCGTATATGGAGATCATGACGGTACATGTCCCACAGCTTCCCTCGCCGCAGCCTCGTTTTGTTCCGGTCAGTCGTTCTGGGCCAGTCAAGGATTTCAAGAGAGTGTCTGGTTTTGGTGATTTGTGTGTCTTTCAAGTTGGCTTACTTTTATCCGCTGCTAATACCCTTGTGGGTGTCTTTCAAGTACAACTACAATTACACCTGCATATCTCTCTCTCTCTCTCTCTCTCTCTCTCTCTCTCTCTCTCTCTCTCACTCTCTCTCTCTCCTCTCTCTCTCTCTCCCTCTCCCTCTCCCTCTCCCTCTCCCTCTCTCTCTCTCTCTCTCTCTCTCTCTCTCTCTCTCTCTCTCTCTCTCTCTCTCTCCTTCCCTTCCTCCCCCCCCCCCCATTTCCCCATCTCTTCTCTCACAATATAATTGAGAGTTTGGAGGTTTGGAGGGAGGGCTTGTTTTGTTTTGAGTTTGTTTTTGTGTGTGTATGTTTGTTGTTTTCTTGGGGATAGGGTGTTTGTTTAGTTTTGTTTTGGTGTGGTTGTTTTTTGTTGTTGTTGCTGTTTGGGGGAGGTTGGGGGGGGGTCTTAAGTGTTTCGATAAAAGCAACCCCCTCCCCTTTCCCCTTAATCAACAAGCCAAAATCTTGTTCTAGAATAAAGTTACCTTACACGATTTTGACCTTCACTCTCATTTTGTCAATGGCACCAATGTCAAGGATACTGAACTGTCTGAGATAAGTTAGAAGATCAAGGTCAGGGTCAGGGTCCTTCAGCTCCACCTGGAAAATATAACAAGAAAAACCTCGCATCCACTTTGACGATGAAACATTGGAAACGGCAAAGAAATGCCGGGATATAAAGTGATAACATTAGTATAGAATTAATCCTATGATTCTTTCATGAGAGACAATGTAAACACACTGTTTAGTCACACTCGGGGAACTCGCTAAGAATGATAGATCTTCAGCAGTGCTTGTCACCCTTTTTTATAAATAGCGCCCACTTTTGACACCTGTAAGAGGCTAAAAGGTTCGTAGCGCCTGCCTACACGTATTTCCAAAACGGAGCATTAAATTATTGCTGTCACTATCTGGGTGATCGCCATTGCCCACCAAAATTACCAAATCGCCCACATGTTGGTGAAATCGCCCACATGTTGGTGAAATCGCCCACATGTTGGTGAAATCGCCCACATGTTGGTGATATCGCCCCGGGTGGCAAGCACTGGTCAATATTGTAGTGTGTCTTCACGGTGACTTTCTTTAAAGAGAATATAAATATAATTATATGTCCGTTTCTCCGAGAGTACTGAAATAGTCTTGTAATACCCTGCTCCCTAAACGACCCACGTGGAAGAATGCCAATTTGGGAGTTCGAACAAGGTTCGTGGTGTGGCCGTTAGGCACTTCACCGTCGCACACTGATGATGGGACTTCGGTTCCCGAGTGAGGAAAAGTTTTATCGAAAATCTCATTACTTCTGTTGAGATATTGTATCCCGCTCAGTCTCAGTTGGCCCTTGCACCTGAAAAAAATCCCAGTTTCGAACGGCAGAAGATATACGGAGACGTTTCCGGCGGGCACACAGGAACTATTCGGAGACGTACTCTCGAACACAGATGTCTCTGGTTTGGAGGTCAAACTGCGTAATGTTTGCTGCAGATCACACATATTATATAGCCTCTGAAATGTCGCAAATCAATTATTTTCAAAAAAATTTCAGACCTAGATCTAACTTCAAAATATCAAATCATGGGTTAAAACATGGGGGCATAAGCCCCTTGTAAACCCCCCC